AACCAGAGGCCTGCCCCATAGCATTGGTGAGTGTGCACACATCTGGGGGAACAGTGGTGTGGTCTGGACCAGTGTGGCTGCAGGCAGATCCTAGCCAAGGATTCACCCCACCCCAGACGCTTGAGCACACCTGCCCAGCCAAGGGCCTGCATGGAAAAGAGCTGCACAGGCATACAAGCTTCAGTCAGAGGCCACCCTCATAGCATCAGAGTGCGTGCAGATCCTTGGGAACAGCTGTGTGGTCAAGACCAGCTGGGCTGCAGGCAGATCATAGCCACGCATCTGTCCCAACCCCAGAGGCTCTGGCACACCCGCCCAGCCAAGGGCCCACCTGGAAGAGATGCACAGGCGCACAAGGTTCAGTCAGAGGCTCATCCCATACTCTCTCCAGTGGAGACCCCAGTCAGAAGCCTACTCAGACAACAGGAATTGGGGAGCACAGCCCCCAGACAAAGGCCCTCTTAGACAAAAGGTATATAGAGAATCCAGCAAGAGGCACACCTAGATATAATCTCAAGTGTGCTCAGGCCCCAGCCAGAAGCCTGCCCAGACAACAAGTGAGCTCAGTGATCCAAACGGTTACCATTCTGAACCCAGGAAATGGTGTACTTGTGATCAACAGAGATAAGGCCTCTTGATGGCTTGCTGATAATTGAAGACAAGTGGGTGAGCAAAAAGTTTCCTAAACAAAGGCACAGCAGGATGCATCTGTTGAAATGAGAAGACATGGAAACAAGTCCCAAAACCAGACTTCCAGATAACCTAAGGCAACCCCAAAGGGAAACAAGATGGAAGAATCTGATACTCAACCACTTGGACTCCCTGAACTGGCAACAAAAGAGGATCTGGAAAAAATGAAATCAGAAATAGTATCTCAGATAGCAGCAGAGATTGTGCCCATAGTACAAGACAGAATTAATAAATCTAGAGCAGACACAGACAAAAACGTAGAGGATCTTAGGAACATGATAGAATCCCACCACAGGAAACAAATGAAATCCATAAAACAGATGCAAACAGATTTCTAGAAGATTAAAAACCCAGATTGATGTACCCTGCAAAACTATCTTTCAAAATTGATAGAGAAATAAGATACTTTCATGACAAAGAGCACCTTATGAACTTCATGAATACCAAACTATCACTCCAAAAAATTTTAAACAACATCCTAGGAAAAGACAGTGAGCATCACAACCTCAGGAAGTCCAGCAGAATGAATCATCAGGCATGACAAGAAATTAAACTCAAAGGGGGAGAATCCAACAAAAAGAAAAAATCATGACAAGGATAAGTCAATACATATCAGTTATAAGCATAACATTAATGGTCTCAATTCACCAGTCAAAAGAAACAGACTGGCAGATTGGGTCAAGAGGTAAGATCTAACAATATGCTGCATACAAGAAACATACTTAATTCAAAAAGAATCTCACAGACTGAAAGGTAAAGGACGGAAAACAATACTCCATGTGACAGGAACCCGAAAAAAAGCAGGAGTAGCTATCCTCTTTGCAGATCAAGCGGATTTCAAACCCTCGTAAAGGGAACAATCCAAGAGGAAGAGATGACAATCGTAAATGTATATGTACCAAACACTAGTGTGCCTAACTCCATAAAAGAAATACTAATGGACATGAAAAATCAAATAAGCACTGATATAATAGTAATGGGGGATCTCATACACAGTCACAGATAGATCAACTAGACAGAAAATAAATAACAAAATACAACTCAAACTCCTGAACAAATGAATTTAACATGTTTACAGAGTGTTCCACCCCACAAAATCAAAATACACAGTCTTTTCAGCTGCACGAGTCGTTCTCCAAAATAGACTTACATACTTGCTCAGAGAACATGGAAAGGAACTGAAGTGGAAAGGAACTGAAGCGATTCCCTATATATTATCAGACCACAGTGTGATGAAATTGGAGATCAACAGCAAAAGAAACCAAAAGAATTTTATAAACACATGGAAATTGAACAACACACTTCTGAATAACCAATGAGTCACAGAGGAAATTAAAAAAGAAATCAGACAGTTCCTACAATTAAATGACAATGACAATACAATGTATCGGAATCTGTGGGACACAATGAAAGCAGTCTTATGAGGGAAATTATTAGCAGTGAATACTCATATTAGGAAAACAGAATGAGTGCAATTAAACAACCTGATGTGAACCACAAGCTTCTAGAAAAAGAGCAAGACAAACCCAAAACCCATACAAGGGAGGAGATTATAAAGATCAGAGCAGAAATCAATGCAATGAAGACTAAGAGAACAATACAAAAAAATATGTGAAACGAGAGCTGGTTCTTCAAAAGAATAAACAAAATTGACAAACCCTTAGCCAACCTTATAAAAAAACAAGAAAGGAAAAGGCCCAAATCCATGCAATTAGGAATGAAAAGGGTGAAATTACAATGGACACAGAAATCCATAGGATCATCAATACCTACTTTGAGAACTTTTAAGCCAATAAGATAAAAATACAGAAGAAATGGACAGATTCCTAGATTCATATGAATTAACAAAGTTGACCGAAGATGACCTAAAAATTCTAAACAGCCCAATATCAATCAATGAAATTGAAAATTTAATTAAAAACTTACCAACTAAGAAAAGCTCAGGCCCTGATGGCTTCACTGCTGAATTCTACAAGACATTTAGAGAGGAACTACTGCCACTACTGTTTAAACTTCAATGAAATTGAAAGGGAAGCAATAATCCCAAATTCATTCCTGGAAGCAAGCATCACCTCAATCACCAAAGCAGAGAAAGACCTAACCAAAAAAGAGAACTATAGGCCAATCTCACTAATGAATGTAGATGCAAAAATCCTTAATAAGATACTGGAAACAGTCTATATAGGGTCATGAAGAAGATCATACACCTTGAATAAGAGGGATTCATTCCAGGGATGCAGGGATGGTTCAACATATGCAAATCAATAAACATAATACACAATATTAATAGAGCTAAGGACAAAAACCATATGATCATCTCAACAGATGCAGAAAAAGCATCTGACAAAATACAACACGCATTCATGATAAAAACCCCACAGAAAGCTGGGACAGTCTCTACCTCAATGTGATAAAAGCCATCTATGAAAAAGCAACAGCTAATATCATACTAAATGGTCAAAAACTGAAATCTTCAAATCAACACTAAAATCAGAAACAAGACAAGGATGTCCACTGTCACCACTCTTGTTCAATATAATTTTGGAAATATTAGGTACAGAAATTAGACAAGAGAAAGAAATAAAAGGAATAGATAGGAAAGGAAGTAAAATTGTCATTATTTGCAGACATGATACTCTATAAGAAGACTCCACAAACACCACCAAAAGTCTTCTAGAATAAACAAATTCAGCAAAGGAGCTGGATACAAGGTCAATACAAAATAAATCAATAGCATTTCTGTAAACGGAAAACAGGCTCACTGAAAGAAATGGGGCAATTAACTCCTTTCACAATAGCATCAAAACACTGAAATACCTAGGAATCAACTGAACAACAACAACAACAACAAAAATCAAAGACCTCTACTCTGAAAGCTATAGCACTCTGAAAACAGAGATTGAAGAGGTTATCAGAAAATGGAAAGACATCCCTTGCTCCTAGTTAGGAAGAATCAACATAGCAAAAATAGCCATACTTCCAAAATTGCTATATAGATTTAATGCAATCCCACTTGAAATCCCAGCGGCGTACTTTATAGACCTTGAGAAAACAATCCAAAAATTCATTTGAACCCTGCTCCACTGCTGGTGGGAGTGTAGACTGGTACAACCACTGTGGAAATCAGTATGGAGATACCTCAAAGATGTAGGATTAGAAGTCCCATTTGACCCATCTATTCCCCTGTTGGGTATCTTCCCCAAAGAATTAAAAGTATCATACCACAGTGACATATGTGCACCCATGTTCATAGCAGCATAATTTGTAATAGTTAAACTTGGAAGCAGCACAACTGCCCATCAAGAGGAGACTGAATAGAGGAAATGTTTTTTTTTTAAATAAAATGGAATACTACTCAGCCATAAAAAAGAGAAATTAGAGACTTTTATAGCTAAATGGATGCACATTGAGGTGGTACTCGTAAGTGAAAGAAACAGTATGCACATATGTAAATACCAAGTAGTTTCTCTAGTGTGAGAAACTGAAACTGTCAATAAGGACTAAAAGGTATAAAAGATAATGTGAAATAGGAAGAAAAGGGACAAAGAGGAAGGGGAAATGAGAGGGGTAGGGGAGAGGAAAGAAGGGAATGGAATTATTATGAGAAAATGAAAATAAAATGGAAACATAGTCTTGTAGATAAGGAGAGAAAGAGGGGTTGAAGGGACGGCAGGGGGATGGGGAAAATATAAGAACCAAGACTGATTATGTAAAGGTACAAATTTCCAACAATGAATGTCATTATATTGTATACCCTAAATGTACCAACAAAATTAATTTTTAAAAAATTAGATCATTCCTAAAAGCTATTATGCATATTTGTTCATGTAAACAAACATAAGTGAAACTAATAGCCTTAGAGCAAAAATCTGAGATTGTTATCTGAAAGGGGTAATTTAGTTTTGTGAAACACAATATAGTTTAGTCATCCCCACTGAAAGTGTCAGAGTAATAGTCATTATGATCATATTACAATGATTTCTTGAAGTTTTTGTGTTTTTTTTTTTTTTTTTTTTGGTACCGGGGATTGAACTCAGGTCCTTGCGCTTGCAAGGCAGGTCACTGAACCGCTGAGCTAAATCCCGGGCCCTTGTGTTCCTTTTATATCTTCTGGTAAATAAAACCATAGTTTATTGATCCATATGCATAGTCTTCCAACAAATAATTACATATTTAGTCTCTTTAGGACACTGTTTTTGAATCAGAAACTTCCAAACTAGTATCTTATAAACTTGGTAAAAATGATACTTCTCCTTGTGAAAATGAAATTATTAGCAAATTAAACAAAGGAACAATTTGTAAGCTAATACCTGTTGTACGATTGTTGTTAATTCCAAGCAGAGCTGTATAACATTATTCCTTGTAACTGAATAGTCCGTCACAGCAGCAAATGGTGACCTACAAAGGGAAAATTATAATAATAAGTGACATCTTTTGAAGAATATTAAAATACAATAGCATAATATAGGATTTTGAATATTATGAAATAAATTATCCTAAAGCTTATATATGGATAAAAATGACATTTGGGACTTAAAAATTGGGAGAAATTTTGACAAGTTTTAAATTCTAGAAGCATAATATTTGATTTTTCATATTTAGAAGTACTTCCACCTTTCAATGCTTCTTCATTATATCTAAAAAAACAAAAATGCTATAGGCAAAACAATATTTTAGTTTATGGAAGCTAAGAATTTACAAAGTCTAATTGAAATAGCCACAATTAAGAGCTAGAAATAAGAGTTAATACTGAAGGCTTACTCTCTGCCAGTTACTGTTAAAATGCCATAAGAAATAACATAATCTTCACAACTACTACGAAACAGCACTCTTATCATTTTACAGATTAAAAAATAAAGGTAGAAAGAGTTAAGTAACTTAGCTAAGGTTATACATTTATAAAGTGGTAAAGATAATGTTCAAACTCAGGAAGTCTGACTTTAGTCTCACATTCTCATACAGTTAAATACTAACATATAAGCCAGGCATGGTGTAGCATTTCTGTAATTCCAGTACTTGGGAGGCTGAGGCAGGAGGATTGCTGCCAATCTGGGCTACAAAGTTAGTTCAAGGCTAGTGTTAACTACATAGCAAGACTGTGTTACAAAAACAAACAAACAAACAAACAAAAACCCACAAAAAACAAAAATCTAACATATACTTACTGCCTCTATGTATTTACAAAGGTCATTTTATTTTGTGGGAACAAAGCTTATATGATTGGTAAGGTAGGGCTAATTTAAGGAAAAGAAAACAAATCACAGAAAAGAATGTATCAAGTTGAATATTTATCAAATTACTGGAAACTTGATGCTTTATATCCCTTTTGTCAACTCACTAGAAACATTTAGGGCTGCTTTCTGGTCACAAACTGAATTAGACCACTTTTTCTAAAACCCTACAACTTACCTTCAAATCAAAAGAAGGTCTATATAAGAGAAGCCCTTATTAGTTATATTTTTCTAAGCATATTTTTCAATGATGTATTTATAATTTTAACCATTCTAACAGCTATGTTGTAGCATGTCATCATTTTATTTTGGATTTCCCTAGCAATTATCTATATTTATGTAATACTTAATCTATATCTAACAGTATCCATATTTTAATAGCTAACTCATAGTTAATGATGTTTTTCATCTTTTGTGTACAATTTTGCTATTCATACATGCTTTGCTGTGTTGCTATCTTATATAGTCTTTGGTGAAATATCTGTTCAAGTCTTTTGCTCATTTTCTATTGGGATTACTGATATTCGCACTGTTATATTTACAACAATTCTTAATTCTTAATATTTTTATGCAAGTTGTTTGATAAACGGTGATTTTTAAGTATTTCTTTTCAATCTATGTATTATCTTTTTACCCGCTCATAGGATCTTTAACAGGAAAATTAATAGTCTTTAACTAAAAAAAAAATCTTCCTGTGATCCTAGGTCACGCTTTTTCTAAAAGTTTATAATTTTTTACACATTTAGATGGATTTTAACTCAATTTTTCTTTAAGATGAGGTTTGAATTGAGGTTTACCTTTCTCATTATGCTTGTCCAAATATTTCAACATCATTTGTTGAATACTACTATTCTCCACTGAATTGCCTTGCAATTAAGTGTCAGTTAACCACACTTATAAATGTATATAGTTCTGGATTCTGTATCTATCCTGCCACTAATCCTACAGTTTTAATTACAGACATTTTATAATATGACTTAAAATGGATATTTTCTTTAAAAATAAATGTACAAAGCATTAATTTTTCCCAAAGCAGAATAATTATTTTAGTTTTTCAAAAAGAATTTTAGAATCAAATTGTAAGTACCTATAAAAAATCTTGCTAAAATTTCTATTTAAGTTTCCTACAAATAAATTGAATTTAATACACGTTACTAATGTGTGTCTTTCATTTCATGAACACAGTATACCTCTTGGTTTTTTTACCTTTTAAAATTTCATACGTAAGTGTTCTGTAGTATTTTTATATCAAGCTTGCGGAAATTGCTAAATTTATGCATAGATATCTCATGAATTTGATCAACTATAAATTGTGCTGTGTTTTAAAATTTAGTTTGTAAATATTCATTGCCAGTATATAGGAATTGGATTGTTTTGTATGTGGGCTTCTGAATCATACTACTTTGCTAAACTCACTCTGACTTCCAATATGATATTGAACAATAGGGGAGAAAGTAAATAGCCCTGCATTTGGTCAAAAGCATTCAGTCTTTTACAATACAGTATAAGGCAGTAGTGGCAAACTTATGGTGTGCAGGCTGTTTGTATCATTGAAAACTCTAAAAGGTTCACCATCACTGGAATGAAGTTAACCATACGTTTTTACATATGCTTTTTTTTATCAAGTTTAAGTAATTCACTGATGTGCTGATAATTTTTGCCCTCCACAAATGGGTATAGTATTAAATGTGTTCATAAATCATATGACTTTATCTTTTAGCGCATGAGTGTTGTATATATTAATTTCTTTCAATTTGTTTGAAGCATTTTATACACATAGAATAAATACCATTTAATCCTACTGTATAATTCTATGTATATATGTTCGACTTGGTTAGATAATTTGTTGAAGATTTTAAATCTAACTTCATGAGAAATATTAGTTTGCTGTTGTTGTTCTTTACACTGTCTTTGATGGGTTTTTGTATCAGCATAATGACTGTCTAATAAATGACTTGGGAAATGTTCTCTATCTTCTGGAGTTGTATAGAATTGGTATAAATAGATAATATGCACCACAGCAGTCATCTGGGCCTTGAGTTTTTCTTTTCCCCACTCCAATGAGTTTCTAAGTTATAGTAGATTCCCCCTTTTCTACAGTTTTGCTTTCTGTAGTTTTACTTATCCAGAAATACAGTAAAAAAATTCCAGAAAAAATTATTCATAATTTCAAATTATATGCTGTTCTGAGTTACATGATGAAATCATGGGCTATTACTCGGTTCCAACTGGGATGTGAATCATCTCCTTGTCCAGTATATCCACACTATATAAGCTATTTGCCTGTTAGTTACTTAGGACCTGTCTCGGTTATCAGATTGACTTTTGTGTTATCACAGTGCTTGGATTCAGATAACCACTACATAGTATCCTAATGTTATATCACAATGCTAATCATTCATCTCTCTTTATCCTATCACTTAAGTATTGTATTAACTCTTATCAACAACATCAGAAGGGTGAGTAAAATACAGTGAGATGTTTTGAGAGGGACCACATTCACATAACTTTTACTGTGCTCCATTCTTATAAATTCTCAATTTTATTATTGTTGTTAATCTTTTACTATGCAAAATTTATAAATTGAACTTTATCATAAGTATATGTATTAGAAAAAACAGCCAATATAAAATTTGGTAATACTGGTAGCTTTACTGGTATCTTGGAACATCTGTCTAATGGATGCTGCAAAATTTGTATAAAAAGATTCATCTTATTGCCTTATTAATCTTTTAATTTGGATGCTTTCACTACTGCACTTTTATTTTCAATTTTATTCATATCTGCTCTTACCATTGTTCTGCTTACTTTGTGCTTATTTCACTCTTAATTTTCTATTTTCTTGGGATGAAAATTTATGTAACAGATTTGTGACTTTTCTTCTACTCTGATACGAGTACACAGTGCTATGTTCCTTTCAGCAGAGCTTTAGCTCTGTGCCAAAAAATTATGCTTTGTTTTATTTTTGTCCTGTTGAATGTATTTTATAATTTTCCTTGAGAATTCCTATTTTACCAACCAATTTCATAGAAGTGTGTGGAGTTTTAGTTTGATTCCATTACATGGTTTCTATTTTTAAAAATTTGTTGAAGTTCATTTTATATTGATATGGTGTATCTTAATAAACATTCTTTGGGCACTTGAAAAGAACTTTATTCTGCTATTGTCAAATGAAGTGCTGTAAAAATATCTATTACATTCTATTATCCAGTGATGGTTATTTCACTCTTCCAATTCTTCTGACTTCCTTTTTGTTGAGCAGTTCTGTCAATCCTTGAGGGAGAAAGGAGCTGAAGTATACAACTATACATGTGTATTTGTTTATGACTTCTTTCAATTATTATTTCATTATTATCAAAAATTACTTCATTATTTGAAGCTTTGCTGCTTGATACACACATCAACAATTGCTGTATTTTTATTTTTGAATTATTTACTTTATATATTCATTTATTACATTTTGGTGCTATTTCAATTATATACTTGAATATAATATGCATATAGTACCCATTAACTGTGCTTCTCATATGTTTGCTGCATTTTCCCCCAAGTTTTGTCTTACTACTTTGTCATATTTTTCTATAGTCAAATGGTATGCTACTTTATATTTTGTTCTATTTTTAATAGCTAAAATGAACTTATACACCTAGAAAAAAATTTTGCCTAGAGTTTTTCTATTTTGCATATTATTGTTTCCCATTTATATAACTGATATACCTAAAAATTACTTTAGTGAACAACAGATAGTGCTGTATGATTTATTTTCTATTTTCCAAAGGCTTTTAACTAAGTGCCCCAGTACAATTTATTATATAGCATTTATATTTCCAGTGATTTTGACATATTGTTTTCTAAATTATTCTACATGGTGTGACTAAAAATTCAGCAAATGTTTGAATTTTTAAAAGTTTACAGTAAAAAGCACATTGCCATTAATGATCCTATACTCCTCCATGCTTCAAACTCACTTATTCCATAGTTCTTGTCACTTTCTGAAGCAGTTCTGGAAGTCATTTTTTGTGTTTTTAGTTGCCATTATGGCTGCCTGGATGTCCTGAATCAATTCAAAATATTTACCTTTCATGGTCATTTTGACTCTAGGGAAGAACCAGATGTTGCATGGTATCAAATCTGGCAAATAAGGTAGAAGAGGACATACACAATGTT